CAGACTTGGCACCTTCAGCAAGGCCCTCCACATCTGGGCCTCAGTTTCCTCAGCTGTAAAATGAGAGAGCTGGACTTGATCATTCAAGGGCCCTCCTTCTCCAGCCTTTCAGGCCTCTTCCAGTTCTTAGAGAAGGGAGGGATCACTGGGGACGGCGGTGGCCTAGGAAGGCTCGCTGGAATAGGTGGTCTTGAGCTAGGCCTCAAAGGAGAGGGAGCATTTGGGGTGGGGGGGAGGACGAGGTAGGAACAGCCTCCCCTGCCCAGTTTACCCCTCGGGGTGATGGATGATTTTTTTCCCTCTCTCTTGGGCTCAGCCCTGTGATAAGACCATCACATCCTCTGAAAGGGAGGCAAGGAGTGGGTTCTGTTTTTAACCAGGGCAGATTTTCCGTTCAGTTTCATGTACACACACAGACACACATACACACACACACACACACAGACACACACACACACACACAGACACACACACACCCGGGCTTCAGCTGAGCATCAAGGGCAGCACTTCCTCCCGACCCACCACAAGGCCAGCAGTAGAGGGAGCGGCCTGGCCAGGCTCCCCTTTCGCTTCCCCAGCCGCTAGGCTAGACTTCAAACATGAGAGATGGGGTGGGGGAGACGCCTGCTCGGGACCAGCCAGGCATTCAGGGACAGGAAGTCTTGCTGAGGCTCGACTCAGACTCCTCATAAGCATTTATAGCCGCCCCTAAAGAGACTGGGCTACTTCAGGAGAAAGATAAGATGGATAGATGGATGGATGGACGGATGGATGGACGGACGGATAGACGGATGGATGGACGGATAGACGGATGGATGGTTGGTTGGATGGATAGACGGATGGATGGATGGTTGGATGGATAGATGGATGGATGGATGGATAGATAGATAGATAAATAGCTCCTAATCACTGGAGGTCTCCAAGCAAGGGTGGATGGTCCCTTGCCAACAGTGTTACAAAGTGGATTTCCTATTCAGGTATAAATTGGACTACATAGGTGTCCCTTCTCATTGTTCTCATGGAATCATACATTTAGGGGAGGCTAGGTGGCTTCGTGGATAGAACACCGGGAGTCAGGGGGACCTGAGTTCAAATCCGGCCTCAGACACTTGACACTCACTAGCTATGTGAACCTGGCAAGTCATTTAACCCCATTGCCTAGCCCCCCGCCCAAAAAAATCATACATTTAAAACTGGGATGGACCTTCGGGTTATCTAGTACAACGCCCTCATTTTACATTAGAGGAAACTGAGGCATACCAATGTTAAGTAAGTGGCCGAGCTAAGGGTTTGAGTTGGGGTCCTCTGCACTCTCTCCAGGGCCCCTCTCCCGTCATTCAGTAAGCACTTACTATATGCCAGGCATTGTGTTCAGTGCTAAAGATACAAAGAAAGGCAAAAGACAGTTCCTGTCCTCAAGAGCTTATAATCTAATGAGAAAGACAGCATCCCACCAAGTATTACATCAAGTTGTGTGCAAGACAAATGGGAGATTATTAGCAGTGGGCGGGCACTAGAATTAAGGGGGATCAGGATCTTCTTGTAGAAGGTGGGTTGTAGTTGGGACTGGAAGGAATCAGGAGGGGGAGATGAGATGGGAGAATGTTCCAGGCATGGGGGAGAGCCAGAGAAAATATCTGGAGATGAGGGTCTTCTTCATGGAACAGCCAGGAGGCCAGTGTCACTGGATCAAAGAGTACGTGTTGGAGAGTAGATATAGGAAGACTGGGAAGGTAGGAGGAGGCTGGGTTACGAAGGGCTTTGAATGTCAGAGCATTTTGTGTTTGTTCCTGGAGGCAGTAGGGAGCCACTGAAATTTCTTGAGGAGAGGTGTGATATGGTCAGACATGAGCTTTAGGAAAATCACTTCAGTGGCTGAATGGAGGATGGACTGGAGTGGGGAGAGGCTGGAGGCAAGCAGACCCCCGCCCCCAGCAGGGTATGGTGATGGTCTATGCGTGAGGTGAGAGGGTCTGCATTAGAGAGGTAGCAGAATCAGAGGAGAGAAGGGGGCGTATTTGAGAGGTGCTGCAAAGGTGAGATCGACATGTCTTGGCAATGGCTTGGATGTGGGCAATGAGAGATAGTGAGGAGTCCAGGCTGACTTCTAGGTTGGGAGCCTGAGGGCCTGGGAGGATGGTGTTGCCTTCTCTAGTAGTAGAGGAAGTTTACAGAGAGTGTCTGGGGGGTAGAGAAGATAAGTTCTATTTTGACAGGTTGAGTTAAGGGCAGTCACAGAAAAGAAGGAATCTTCACGGCCGCCTGGACCAACCATCTTGTTTTACCGGTCAGGGGAACTGAGGCAGCAAAGGAATGCTTGACTCAGGGGCAGACCTGGGACTAGAACCCGGGGCCCTCGACTCCCGGGCCGTGGCTGATTTTTACTGTTAAGCTGCTTGGCCTTTGACATTCAGTAGTGTATTCATTCAGCAAACATTTGGTGGCACGGTGGATAAAGCCCTGGGCCTGGAGTCAGAAAGACCTAGGTTCAAATCTAGCTTCAGACACTTACTGGCTTTGTGACCCTGAGCAACTCTGCCTCAGTTTCCTCACCTGTAAAATGGGGATAATACTTCCTTGTACCAATCTACCTCACGGAGTTGCTGTGTGGTAACGTTGGGACCTGTTCTTAGTAGTGGCAGTAATAGTCCAACAAGACTGCTGGAAATTCCCTTCTTGAGTTCAGAGCCTGGGCTTTCTCTTCCTCTGTGAAGGCCTTTACATAGTGAGTGCTCAGAAATGTCAGCATTTCTGACTCCATTTCCCCACCTGTAAAGCCTGCCCTCCTTCCCTCCACAGGCTTAAATGAGCATGCATTAGGAGGGACCCCGGCCCCTACGCCCTGTGGAAGTATGAGGTGCTAACAGGCCTGATCCAGCTTGGGTTGTGAAGGCTTCCTGTTGCATTCCCTTCCCTCTCCATGTACACGTGTATAATATTTTATACATGTGTGTACTTATACATAACATGTATAAGTACACATGTATGTGTATGCGTGAGGAGAGGTGTGAGAAGGCACCCGCTCCGCGGAGCGCCAGGGAGCGTTGGCGGGCTCTGTGGGCAAAGCTCGACTTGTTGAGGTGTCAGGAGCTGTTCTTTGGGCGACTGCGTGGGGTGGGGGCGGAGAGGCGGGGGAGGCTCCCTCCTTTCCCTTCTGTTCATCCTTGTTAGGTGGGAAGAGAGAGGGCTCAGCACAGACAGCTGGGGGGCGCCTGTCCCAGTACCGCTCCCAAAGCATCCTTCTGGAACCTGGACACATTTACTGACCTGGCTGTGCCAGCCTGAGGGCAGATGCCCTGCACAGTCCATGGTCTGGTTGGGGAGATAAGAATCACACGCCCAGAAGGGAGAACAAGAAGGGGGCTCTGTGGGATCAAGGGTGAGGGTATGAGACTCAGAAAGAGGGAGGGGGATGAGGGAGAGAGAAAGAGAGACTTAGAGAGGAGAGAGACAGAGAGATGGAGACAGTGGGAGGGAGGAGAGACAGAGAGGGAATGTACCAGTACATTGTGGGCAGAGTGGTTAGGGAGGTTCTCCTTGAGGGCAGGGGGCCTAAGCTAGGTCACAGAAGAGGGAGAAAGAGGGTACCCACAGGCAGCCCTGGTATCTGACACAGGGAGGGCAGACTTCTAGTGATTCTGTTTCATAAGCCTGCCGGACTGTGGGAGGCCATCAAAATCTAGATTCCTTCCTCCCCATTATACTGCGAGGACCTTGACCAGGGAAATGAATAGAATACAAAGTGGCAGGAGCTTAATGGAGAGAATGGTGTATTTAGAGTCAGGTTGGCCTGGGTTCGAATCATTCTTCAGATATTTATTAGCTGTGTGACGCTGGGCAAGTAATTTAATTCAGTGTCAGTTTCTTCATCTGTAAAATGGGAATAATCAGCACCTATCTCACAGGGTTATTGCAAAGATCAAATAAATAATATTTGTTAAACACCATGCAAACCTTAACATATGAATATTAAATACAGAGCATATTTTGTCAGTGCTGGGAGGGCCCTTAGGACACAGGATGTCAGAGCTGGGAGGGCCCTTAGAACACAGGATGCCAGGGCTGAGAGGGCCCATAGAACATAGTATGTCAGAGCTGGGAGGGCCTGTAGAACATGGAATGTCAGAGCTGAAAGGGCCCTTAGAACACAGGATGTCAGAGCTGGGAGGGCCCTTAGAACACGGGATGTCAGGGCTGGGAGGGCCCTTAGGACACGGGATGTCAG